AGCATGAGAGGCACGGTGGTAGCGGAGGTGGATGGCATGAGGACTACCTTTGAAGATAAAATGCAGACCCTGGAGGACAGGTTCATGACCATCGTGGGGGAGCTGAACAATGTCAGTTCTCCTGTGGGCATGGACGGAGCGGTGGTGCCCATGCTGGAGGGGGAGCTCGCCAGCATGAGGAAACGGATGGATGAGACACTGGAGGTGGTGCAGAATCGCCTCATCACACTGGAGAGCACTTGTTCCCTGGGCTGCACCTCTGCCTCCAAAGACGTGGAGACCTTCCGGACAGAAATCGAAGACTGCCAGAACAAGAACCAGGACCTGCTCCTCCGGATGGACAGCAACTATGACCTCCTGCGCAAGCTGAATGCCACCATCCTGGAGATCCAGCGACGAATCGAGGAGGAAGCATCAGGGGCTTTGCAAGGAGAGATCACCTTGCTAAAGATCAACCTGAACACCGTGAGCAAGTCTCTGACGGGGCTCAAGGACTCTGTCTCCCAGTACTCAGACACTGTGACACACATCAACTCCTCACTGGATGAGCATGAGCGGAAGATCGAGGATGAGGTCCACTCCATCCAGGAGAAAGTCAATGACCAAGGCTCCCAGCTCTTCTTCAGCAACCGGCGTGTCCTGAACCTCAAGGGAGACTTGGAGCGACTTAAAGCCAGGATTGCCAGCGACCTGAGCTCCTGCAAAAGCGTGGCCCATGACCTGCAGCAGGAGATTGCTCACTTCGATGACCGGGTGGCCCGGGTGGAGAGCATCTGTGGCAGGCTGGGTGCTGTCACAGGGAGCCTGGATGGCATCAGGGATGAACTGGAGAAACACACGGGCAGTCTGTGGGACTACATGGACCACATGAATGGGACCCTGGCTGCCCACTCTCAGGAAATAACGGGACTGAAGGACAACCTGCTTGACTGCCAAGCCAAGGTCTCTGAGCTTGCAGAGCAGGTCAGCCACTTGGAAGAGCAGGCAGAGGGGAAGCAGCATTAGCTGCGCCACCATGCGCTTCTTCCTTCTCCCCATGAAGGACAGGATTAACTTATATCACACAGACTTGCTCCAATGTGACAACAGTTCTTGGGATAATTTTTTTTAATGAAAAGATAAATTAAAAGCTGCTACAAACCCTTTTTTTAAAAAAAATTTTCTTTAAATCTTTAAATATTTCCATAACTCTGCCGTTAGAGTACTCACCTCCCGACGCTCAGCAGCTGTCCCAACCCTGGCACAGCAGGGTCACTGCCTCCTGGCCATGGGCATTGCTTTGGCTCCTGGGCTAATGACCCCAGAAGGACAATTCAGGAGGAAGCTGGAGGTGGGAATGTCTTTTTTTAATTTTATTTTATTTTTGTGGATTTATCGCTTCTTGAGGAATAAAACCCTGTAGTTCTCAGTTGAGGAATAGAGTTTATCTGACCTAAAGACCACCTGCGTCTTAATTCAGGGACTGAGCAGAGATAGGGATCCTTACAGGGAACAAAATTCACCAAAGGAATTGCGGATTTCAAAGAACACACGTATTCACATTCCCCTCTTCGAGACGGCAGCCCACTTCGTGTAAGGTAAATCCATTTATACTGCTCATTCCTTCATGCGAATGCACATGTCTTAGGAGCATACGAGGATATGCATTAGGAAAACGCACATATGCATATATATATATATCTATATGGTATGTGTAGATGTATTTGTTGAACAATCCACTGTCATGGTGCTCATCTGATTGCAAAGTTTCCTCTTGCTTCCCCCACGTCCCTTGCTGTTATTTCAAAGAACTACAATGAGCAGTTAAACACCACCACCACAGCATTTGGGGGAGGGCCCCATGGTCCCTTGGGGCTGCCATGCCTTGCAACCCCACTTTGCTGTGCTCTCCAGGTTACACCTGGGACTGACATGAAGGGTTATGGAAAACTTGTGTCTTCCCCAAAGAGATGTGTGTCCATAGGTCTCTACAGAGACCAAGGTGGGTATGGAGCAGTCCTGTCCTCCAGCTCTAGTTCTCTCCTGGTTTATTGCTTAAACTGTGAACATGGTTTCCCTCATCTCTTCCCGGGGCAGGAGAACTACAGCTGCTCCAGGGTATGAGCATGAGGCTTTCCCTGTCTGGCAGCACAGGAGCAGGAGCCTGCGTCCTCCTCACATTCCTCTGAGCCCACTGGGATGCCAGCAGTCCCAGGACCTGCACCGACATGGAGCCCCAGGGAGGATAGAGGCAGGGCACTTTTGAGAAGACCTCTCGAGACCTCTCCTCAGCTCAGCCTGGGAATGAAAAACTGAAGTGATTTACTGAAGGTCACTCTGGTTTCCCATGAACACGTAGGCTGGAAAAGGTTGTACATGTTGCTGAGCAACTCCAGCCTTGCCCTATGGAGCAGGTGCCTGGACTGTGCGGCTGTTGCACACAAAACCTGTGTCTCCTGGGCAGCACAGCATGGGCGTCCTCCACTGCTCAGCCAACAGGGACTTAATTATCAGAAACGATGAAGAGGAAATTAAAGACCCTCCATCTGACCAGCTCTGGCACTTTATAGCAGAGGAACGTATTTTTCTATCAGCTCAGCATTGCAGCTCATGGACCCTTCCACACCAGCTAGCCTCCAGCTCCCACCTGGTACCCATCACCCTCACCAGGTCATCCCTCCTCTTCTGCCCCACCATTCCCCTCCACTTCCCCCTGCCCTGCAAAGGAACAGCTCTGTGCTCTGACCAGCACAAAGCAGCAGGAACTCCCATCAGAGATGCATCTGGGCAGCTTTTCTCCTCCATAAAAACTGGATGAACTCCCTGAAATAAATGCTTCCAGGTTGGGGAGGACCACAGGGATCACCGAGTCCAGTTGGCTGTGTCATGTTACCCTGATGCAGTAAAAGCTCTTTCCCCTGCCAGAGGAGCATGGGCCATCAGCTGTATGAGCAGGGAGAGGGGACCTGGCCTCCCGCCACTTGCTTAGCCCCGCTGGCTTGCAGGGTGCTGGATGGTCACAGCACCAGAATCCACTCTTGGTGCTCTGGGCTTTGCTGATTTGGATCTACACTGCAGCTGCTGAGACACTTCTCCAGCTGAGGAGCAACCTCCAGCTGCCTTCAAGCATCCTGCAAAAACTGCTCTTGGACAACAAAACCAATTTTTTCTCCCCCCAGTTCATGGAAGGAGTCTCAAGCCAGCCCTCAGTACTTTGTGATGGGCCAGGGGAGCCCTCGCTGCACAAGAGCATCCACCCAAGCCCCTTCCCCATCCTCTCACAACAGGGAGAAAAAGGGCTGCAGCAACCAAAGAGTAAATTAAGCCAAGGGCCAGGCTCACCCCTCCCCAGGCCAGGGCTGGGTTAGAGAGCAGCTGAACAGCAACAGCTTCCTCAAGCACAAGGGAAGCCAGGACTGGCCATAACAAAACTAGGACAAGGAAGAAGCCTGACCTTCCAGAAAATGGTGCTATGTTTGGACTCTTCCTGACTAGTCACTTGAATTCACTTGAAGCTACAGACAGTTTGTATTTGAGTTCTCAGCTATTCACATTTAAAAGAGTGAAAGGAACTTTGTGTAAAATAGGGCATTTTTTTTTTTTTTTTTTTTTGCTTGCAGAGAGGGAAGGAGATGCTGCCCATGCAGTTGTCCTTGCCCAGGCAGCTTTCTGAGGCAGTTGATAACTGATCTTGTTAAAAGGCTGTGTTTTACTGTTTTTAAAACCTCATACATTTGTTCAGATTTTAAAAGCTGAAAAAGTATTTGTACTGGAAAGGAAAAAAAATAAAGTATTTCTTGCTGAGGTTTCTAGGATCAAAATTACTTGTGTGGCTTTAAGAAAAGCAGCATAACACCAGGATTAGGTTAAGAGATGGAGCTAGAGTTAGAGCATGGAGGCTATTTAGAGAAGAGGGAGCAGGCAGACTAGAAGGGGATGATTTACACTCACACACAGTGTGAAGCTGGATGCCAGACTGGAGGAAGGAGCCCAGCAGTGCTCCTGCTTGTTTTCTTTTTATGTAGTTACAGCCGAGAGCTTCCAGAGCAGGGGCACCAGGCTGGCTGAACACACAGCAATGCTGGCAACCAGGTTTCAGATAAGTCCCCCATGCAGCATGGGGACAGGCTGGTTGAGCCCCAACCCAACCCTGCTTTAGGACAGCTGAGCTTTCCTTGAACACTCCAATACAGGGGCACAGGAATAAGCTCCTGCCCTGGCACAAGATTGTGGCAGGCTGCTGTCACAGGGGAGGATTCGCCCCCATCCACACACACATAAAGCCAGGGTTTACTTCCTGTATTAAGTCAGTTTTGCAGCATTACCTGAAGATAATAGATGAAAAATAAAATTTAATTTTAAGAGACCTTTTTTAGTGCAGCTGCTCCACAGGCCCAGGAAGCTGCAGGTCCTGCCCTCATCTCCACCAAGACCCCCTTGGCAGGACACTTCAGCAGAATAAACCCAACCACTTTTCTACAAGGACACAGACCCTGGCTCCCATTTCCACACACACAGCTACAGCAGACGAGGCAGCCTGGATTAAGGCACTATTTATTGATTATTGCTATTAGTGAAGAGCACTCAAAATCCCAACAGCTTCCATCCACCTTAACAAGTTGTTAAACCACAGGACTTCTTCACTCCATCGGCTACCAAACTACAGGGAACACTGGTCATACTGGAGGTAGCAATAGCTATGCCAGAGACTCACTAATAAATAAGACAGTGACCCACCACCACCTTTAAAAAAAGCCAGGCTTTAAAGGTGTTAAGAACATTAAGAAAAGACCCAGCTTATAGGAATTTCCGTTTAACAAATGAAGTTTTTGTAGAGTCAGAGCTCCCTCTTACCCCCTGTTGGCCCCCAAGAAGGGATGTTTCTAGTGCAGAACATGACCCGTATTAGAAGTGCAAAATGCCTGAGCAGCAAACAGGGGGGAGGAGATGCATCTGCAGCATCCAGTCGTGGCAGAAGATGCACAGGAGAACCCTAGGTCAGGTCTCCACAGGTAACGGAGTCAGGAGAAGGCATCCAAGTCAACAGCGGGCAGTGGAGGTCTCCAGTAGGCAAAGTGGCTGTACTCTGGACACACCAGAGCAACACTCCCACTTTGTCTCGGGGGAGGGAAGATCAGATCCACCAGCTCCGACAGCCGCTCATACCTATGGGGGTAAGAAAGAAGTTGCATTAGGGTTATTTTGCTTTCCTACCCCACGAGATGCTTCTCTGGGTTAAACCCAGGCTAACACAAAGATGCTGAGGAACAAGCAGGTCACTTACGTTGACTTGTGGTTTTTTGTGAACTCCTGGATCAGCTCTCCTTTGGGGTTGACTGTGAATATGCGGCTCTCCGGCAGGCCCACTTGCTTGTAAGCAGACATCCTGCCCAAGGAAGGCCAGCAAGGCATGAGAGCTGTAGGAAGGCACCCTCACTTCAGCCTGAGCCCTCCCTCCTTCCCAGGAGACCCACTCACATTGGCTCTGTTCCCAAAGGCTGCATAGAAGGGCAGCTTCATGGCAAACAGTTTTTGGATGTCCATCAAGCATGCAATCTTGAACACCTCTGGCTTCTTCTCAATCACCTCCCTGCAGCACAAGACACATGCGCAGAGCAGAGGTCAGAGTGGCATCAGCTGGCCAGGGCTGTGGGGAGCCAGGCTGTCCAGGACTCGAAGAAGTGATTTGAAGAGAGGTTTTGTGCATCAGGAGCTTCACCATGAAGCTCCAGGGAGGGCAGGCAGTTCCTCTGCTGCCTCCCATAAAAGGCATCCTGCACCAAGGAGGTCAGAAGCAGTTTAAGGCTGTGACATCCCTCAGTGTCAAGCTGGGGAAGGAGGGTGCTGTCCCCAGGGACATAGGAGGTGCAGGGCTAGGGAGAAGGAGAGGACACAGTACCTGTGTAAGGCAGAGAAGAGGCTGCTGGGGGCAAGCAGGATGGGGCCCTTGGGGAGGGCACAGCCTTGCTCATTGACCCATTTGAGGTAGCCTTTGGTGATGTGTGCCTTACCGATCGCTCTGGCTGAGCAGTAGAGGAACTTGTAGCCGTTCCTAGAGAGGACACAGGGAACCCCGGAGCTATGCCCTGGACAAGGCATCCTCCTGCTCCTCCAAAGAGGAGGAGGCTGAGTACCTGGTCTAAGACCAAACCTGTTCACTCCTTCAGCAAGCAAGGTGGCTTCACAAACAACATGACTCACTTGCCCAGGGACCCAGGCTAAAACCAATCCCCATCTGCCTCGCTGCCAGGGAGCGGCACTGAAGGGGGACACTGTACCACCCTCCAGGCCCTTCCCAGCAGCCACATGCCCATCCCTGCTGCAATGTGCCCTTTGCTGCTTGGTACCCGTGCACCCAGACAGGACCCCCAGGCCAGCACCTTTATCACACCAGGCTGCGTGCAGCTTGAGGGGAGTTGGACACAGGCCCTGCAGACCCTCAAGCAGCCAACAGAGCTAGATGGGCACCTCGGGCAGAGGGGGTATGGCGCTCTTGGGGGATCGGCGGTGGCAGCCAGGGCAACCCCAGCCCCCCAGCAACGCGCCCACAGCCCCCCAGCGCCCCGGGGAGCAGGAGCCCCGTGTCCCGCCCCTGAGGCCAAGACGAACCATCCGCGGGCCCACAGTGCCTCTTAGTGGCCACAGGTGCCAGGGACGGAGCTGAAGGCTGGGCTCGGTAAGGACCCACTGCCAGCCTCTGCCGGGTGCGGGGACAGCATCATGCCTCGGGCCCGGTCGGTCCTCTGAGGCGATGGGAAGTGGTAGCTGGGTGCCCAGAGAGGCAACTGGCACCGATCTACAGGGCTGGGAGTGCTGGCTGGATCCCTGTGCCACTGCTGCACAGTGACCCAAAGGTATTCAGCTGTACCTGTGGCCTCTCAAGTGTGATTTTGTGCAATCTCATCTCCTTCAGTGCTCAGCTACATCTCCCCAGCAAAGCCTCCACCAACACACACTCCTCCCAGGGAGGGCAATGCAAGCATCTGCTCCCAGCACCCAGGGGAAGCCCCCTGCTTTCACCCCCCAACAGCATCCAGACAGCACAGCAAGCATCAATGATCACTGACAGCAGTAAATTAAGCTATTTTCGCCAGCATCAGTGAGTAAGGAGCCCTGACTCTGGCTCCCACTCAGCCTCTCCTCCATCATCCTCTCACTTCCCCTAGGCCTCAGTTGATCCAATACCTACAGGTGGATTTTGTGGAAGAGCTTCACAATCCCATGATGAGTCCAATCTTTTCCCAGATGTGGCAAGATGTGCCCAAGAGCATCGGACCTAGAAGGAAAGGAGATAAAGTTAGGATGATCCAACCTGGTGTGTATGTGGAAGACGATGGGGTTTGTGGTCCCTCCTGGCTGCTTACACAAGCCTTGAAAGGACACTTTCCCTAAACAGAGGGGAGCAGGGATATGGGGTGGCAGAAAGGCCCTTTACTTGGTGATGGTGCCATCGATGTCTGAGATCACCACCTTGTCATCCCAGTTCCACAGGTAGATGGTGGCCTCACAGTGGCACGTGCCCTGGTACTGAGTAGTCACACTGAATGCCACCTCATTGGGGCCATCCTGCAGATTCAGCCTTCCCTGTGGCAGAGGGAGAACAAAAGTGGTATACCAGCACCAATTCACACCAGTCCAAGGCTTGCCAGAGGCCAGACTGCCACTTGGCCAGACCAGAGACCCCAGGCCTCTAGAGGGTGGCCACCCAGGGCAAAATACTTGGATGCCCTATAAAAACATGAGGTCAGGAGTAGAGAAATCCCTGTTTAAGGGTTGTCTCATACCTACACACACAAGCAGGCAGTGAAGGAGGAGGAGTAAAGTACATACAATTTGTTCGGAGGAGAGCCACAGGGATTTCTTGTAGGTTGGCAGAGATTTCTGTGCAGAGGCATCCATTGTTAACATGTCCCTGGGGTGCAGGGACTCATCATCACTGGATGACCCTTCTTCCTCCTGCCTATACAGAAAAGGGAAGAGCATGTTGACTTTACTCTGCAGACCACAGCTTTCCCCATGAGGGTCAGGAGAGATCTGGAGAGGACCCAGGACAACCCACCCACCAGGAAGCAGCCACAGAGGAGCTTGGCTGGACTGAGGTCAGCCAGAGCCTTAAAAGAACTTTCTGCCCTCATAAATTAGGTAGACTTGGGAATAACTGGTCATTTAGAAGAAGAGATGAGGAGCATGCACAGACTCCTAAAGGCAACCTGGGAGGGAGGCACTCACCTCTGCAGAGCAGAGTCAGGCTGCAGTGTCCCCATGTTGGCTTTCCCTGGCCTTGACTGCTGCTGCAGGCAGAGAATGGTGTCATTAGCACCTCAGTACCAAGGGCAGGAGCGGAGGCTGCTTTGCTTTACTGCCACTTGGAGCAGTGATACTGGAAAAGAGGTGGTGATGCATCCCCCTGCCTTCATGAGGACACTGCCCCATGGAAGAGGAACCACAATGCAGTGCTGTGGGAGGGCAGGGAGACCAGCAAGCACACATGGTGCCTGGGCTGTGGCATGAGGGGCACGTGGCAAGAGGTTTCACTATTACAAGGCCCATGTTACCACATTAACGGGCACTAATGCTCAGGCACTAACAGACCTGAGGGAACAGCAGCAACCTTCAGAAGTCATCTTGCCAACAGGTTGCTCTGGCTGCCCTCGTACTCAGGCCATCCCCAGCACCCTGCTGCTCTCCTACTCCCACCCCTGCCAGCCACCAGACTAATGCCTGTCCCCTGACGACACAGTTGTCACAACCACTGCTGCAAACACACCTCTTCTGCTGGAAATTCTTTCCTCCTCCAGGAGAACCACCACCTGCTGCCTTTCTTGGGCATCTTCTCCTTCACCAGTTTGTTCATGGTGCTCTGTGAGCATGGCAGAACACAGGATGAAGTCAGTCCTCAGCCCAGGGAGGCTCAGCTGCCAACAGGCTAAAGAGACCCTTGTCCAGGCAGGGTTTCCTTTGCAAAATTATTCACAGAATGTATGACTCCTGCCACACTGTGAGCTGAGATGGTTTGGGGGTGAAGGGTACAGTGACTTGTTTCCTTCACGCAGCTTGAAAACAAAACAAACAAAAAAAACCCCACAAAAAACCCCCAACACCTGGATGCCTTATTCCATACAACCCCACCCAGGTCTACAGAGCCCTGGAGTCAGCTCATGCAGTCCCAAATCCTCCAGACTGCCAGGGCCCCTGGCTCTGGCCAGCCTTGCAGAGATACAACCATCAGAATAGGGTATTTTTGACAAGGAAATCTCTGCTTTCCAGGCGCAAGTGGCACCCAGGTATCTAAAAGCCACCCTGAGGTCCCTCTGGGGAAAAGGACAGACCTCAGGGTTTGTAGGCTAGAGTGACATTCATCTCTGCCCCAGACTGCCTGCAAAGCCCCAGATGGGCAGCTTGGCCTCTTGCAGCCCCACCACACTCTTCAAGCCCTACTGAATCATAGAATCATAGAATCATAGAATCATCTAGGTTG